CTAGTGACGGAATTGTATAGGGCAAGGCAACAGGAAAATATGGAGAGCTCCAAACGGACTACCTGGCTTCAAAAGTCTGCTTCAGTAACAAACTTGAGAGTTGTTTTGAATTATTTATAAAAAAAATGCAAGATAATATTTTAAACCTTTGTAGCGAAGATGCAAAAAGAAATGAGTCCATTATATGTATGTGAAAGATTCTAATTTGGGTGAAAATGCATTTTGAAAAAATCAGAACACACATTTTAATTGCATCAGGGAACACAGAGGGACAACACCCCTGGGGGGATGCCCCTTTAAAACCGCCGGGCCCAATCCTCACTTGCAGCTGATTTCCTGCTTCAGAGCTGATTCCCAGAGCCCAGTACCAAGGTGAGGACCAAAGGGCTTTACAAAAGCAGCAAGAAGAGCTCTGGGGGGTTTTTGGCACGGAGTGCTTGGGCTGTGATAATGGACGTCATCCTCTGGGAGTCATGGCGGGTAAGTGGCTTTTATTTGCTATTTTCCTGGGAAAAGGCAAGGCAGGATGCTTTGAGCAGTGCTCCTCCAAGAGCTGGGCTCTGGCACAAGAGGGGGGTTGGATTGGGGAGAGGTCATGGATCGCTCATCTGTTCTAGAGCCCTGTATTGGGGGGAGTGGGAAAAAGCTTTCCATGTCAAATTAAGATGAACAGTTATATGTATTTGACGTTAACTGAAGCATTTTTGTGTCATTGCTGAAGGCTGAGCCAGTCCTCTGTGCCACTCTGACAGGGGCATCATAAAATGAAAATAACCCCACTCGTATCTTTTCTTACGTAGAAAAAAACCAACCACCTGTACAGCAAAAGTCTTTTATTAAAAATCACAGCACACAGATCCCTTGGCCAATAGAGGCACACACAAAGGACATAAATACACACACAATACTCTTACGCGGAGTTTTCATCGCCACAGACAGCTTCAGGTTTCCAGCAGTTTATTTCCGATGTAAATGCTGAGCAAATAAACCACGTGCCATACCCCACCCCCAAACGGTAAAGTTATGCAGCTGCAGAAAATGTCCAATTTCATCCAATTGTTTAAAACATCCTCGGCACAGCACCCCGCGCTAATTCTGTTTCACAAAGGCACGCTTATTCCGCAGCATCCTTCAGCTTCAGAGAGCCTCTAAGTACTGGACTGATCCCTTTCCAGGTTTCACTAGACATTACCTAAACAGTCTGTATTAGAAAGGAATCATTGGGATATTCTGTTGGCATGGAGTAGTTCCAGTTCCAAGGTAAAAGCGTATCTTGCTCAGGTACGTGTAGCAACAGATCGGGTTCTCGCAGGAGGTGTGTTCTAAACGAAATAGATCGCAGTGTGGGTGTTGACAGTCTGTCACGCTTACCGCAAAACCGTCTTTCAACCCCAGTGCCGGAGCTGAACGCAGCTCTGATCACCCTCCCGTGCTGCTGGGCTTTCCATCAAATCTGCAAAGTTCACACCTTGGCTCCCAAAACGTTAGCAAGTAGGAAATACAAATGTAAATGCTCAAAACTGAGGCATTCCAGCTACAGAAAATGTAACAGCTGTCAGAGGTATGACACACAGAAACTGAGCAAACTTCACAGGAACAGGGCTAGACACTCAGAAAAGAAACTATTCCGTCGTGGGAACGGTAATTTCTGGATTGGGTTCGGGTTTTTTTAAAATCTTGAACTGACTATAGGAGCTCTTGGAAGCTTGAAGGTTTTTTTCAGTGGAACTGTTAGTTTGTGTAGTATGGAAATTAATGTTTTAGCTACTTATTTTTACATGCTAAAGTAATTAAGTCATGGAGCACATAGCTTAAAAAATTTCACTGGAAAATAAAATCACCTTTCTAATGGAGTTTATGCCATTGTCAGCTTTAAATATTTCAGTATCGAGTCTTAGACGTGATAATGGAGAGGATGTGCCATGAACAATTAATTTCTCTACTGCATCTGTTAGCTCTGGTAGAGTTCTAAATGCCTGATTTAAACAATAATTTTAAAAAGATCTGTAAATAATAACAAAGAGCTCACCAGTGTTACAGATCAACTCCATGATAGTCCTGAGTGGATGCCAACATAACTCGACACAGTTGCCTAACTTCCAGTGCGTGACCATGGATATCTAGAAAAGCCAAGACGACAATTTTTCCCCATACTACCAATAATATTAGAAATGCAAAGTATTGACGAACAGAAAACTTGGAAACCAGGAGAAACACTATTTAAAAAAAAAAACAAAACACAAAAAGCCTGACATGTCACTAACCGATTGCCACCAAGAATGGCTAAAAAGAAAGGATAAATCTGCTCCTCGATAATTTTGTTTTCATGAAGGCCAACAAGGAAACTTTCCAGTCTAACATAGCTGCTGTAAAACCAAAACCTGTTTATTTCTCAGCAGCACTCAGACATCCTCCCAAATGCTGGACTCCTTCTTTTAGAAGAGACAAAGATTTCCTCATGGCTTTCAAGTATAAAAGCATCATCCACTAGACTTCTGAGATGATGTCAGGAAACAGAGAACGTGGTCCCGAGAGGTCCCGGATGCAGTTATAATGGAGATCCAGCATTTCTCCACCATTAATTCTGCTAGCAATGAAAAATACTTTTTTTGGGGGGTGGGGACAGGGGTTGTGGGCAAGGAGAGTCAAAGGGAACAATGTAAACAACTTCATGGACAGAGTTATGGATGGAAAAGGATAAACTGTACGTTCTCCCTGGCTGGAGAGACTTCTGATCTGCAGTTCAGATCCCAGTACTTTAAATAACAGCTTACACACCAATAAATTCAAGCACTGCTTGATATGTAATTCATGGACATTACAGTACCTCCTTAAACAAATTTAAAATGACATTTAACTATCTTATTTTCCCTATAATAATATATTTTTCAAAATTATAAATAAATACACTACGAGCATTTAATCACGTATATACAAACAATGCTAGTGACCCCCAAATGGCAAACAGATATGTTTTAAAATGCTAAAACCAATTTAAACTTCCTGTAACCTGATTGAATTCTTGTTTCGGAATAATTGAAAAGCACATCTGCCTATCTGTCAGTACGTAAGCATGCATTAGAACGGATGCATGCTAAAAGAACTTTTTTCAGTATCTTAATTTAACTTTGTTTTAGAAGGAAGTCCAAGATTTGTTCAAATTTTCAAAATAGAGAATTATCATCCTCTGCAGAAGACTTTTCTTAATCCTCAATAATTTAATCAGAAGAAGAGAAGAATAACAACCCATCCTTGATTCCTTTGGTATGAATTGCTAACTTGCTAATTTAAGAACCAAAAATACAGAGATCTTAGCATCCTTTTTTTTTTTTTTCTTCTTTGCAATTTGTCTTTTCCTGCAGGTGGGAACAGACACTGACCTAGAGAGAGAGGAGGAAATAAAATGGTATGAAAGTGCAATGTGCAACAAACAGTAAAACTGAGAATTCAGAATGCCCTTCAGGCATCAACAGGAAAACTCTGCTTATACTGAAAGATCTGTAGCTGACAAAGGTTACTGGAAGGCAGCAGCTCTGTACTAGTAAAAGGGATTTTTGTGTGTTAGAGCACCTGCCATTCAAAAATGTTTGAATCACAGGCTTACCTAAAGGTTTGAAGATCAATAACACTCTGAAATTGTGTAAGTGATCTGCTCCACAGCCGAGAATGTCCTGTCTGCATTTCCACACCGCACCTGATGCTGCCAGGCTCTGTCATACTGGAATTATTTGTAGTGTAGACAGGACTAAGGGACACAATCCCATTTACTGACACATCACTTGAGGAATTCACTTAGACCTCCTGGAAAATCATTTTTAGTTCCACTATAAAGTGCTGTGGAGAGAAGGAGGGAATCCACACAGTCTAGCTTTGGGGCATCTCAATGCGACCGTTAGGAGATGAGTCTCCTCAGACCGTGACGTACCTCCTGAAAGGAGAGACAAGGTTCTCCCCAAACAGGAATTTTGAGGGCAGAGGAACTGGTATCTCTTGGCCACATACAGAGTTTACGTTTTCAGCTGAAGTACCCAGGTTAGGGCAATGTTGTTTGAACGCTGAATAGCCTCCACTGCTGTAATCCTGATAAATTACATTTTACAGAATTTATCCAGAACAATATAAATCTGAAGCCTACAACATCTGACCTTGCAGTAATCAGCGAGATTACTGTTGGGACGGGAAATGTTTCTTCATACACAGTGTGTTTGGAGGATGAGCTAAGAACAACACCTATGCCTAACAACCAAAGGGTAGCTTGGTAGCTTTACTGTTTGCCCCCCAAAATAATATATTCTGTCAAAATACCCTAACTGATCCACCTTTCTAAATCAACTTACTCCATAGCTGCCAGGTAATTTATGTACATGATGTCTTTAAAACAAGAAAAACATTAGCGACAAGTTACACAGATGGTCTAATAATTCCATTCTTGTAAAGCAGATCACTTGCCAAAGAACAGACTCTCTCTCCCTCCTGTAATGTGAATATCCTGGGTAAAACCAGACACCTGTTCCCACTGGCAACAGCAACTGATTTGCAGCCCCCTTAGAATCAGAATCTTCAAACCTTGCCAAACTGACACTTGTTCCTTGCCAAGAAACAAACAGCAGATGCTGTTTTCACAATCTTATAGATAGCATAAAGGCCTGTCATGATCTTCAGCAAATAAATCCTAGAATCTGTTAAAAATCTTACAGCAACTTTTCATCCAAGTTATCTCCCCCAAGTTTTCTGTACTATCCATATTTTGCAACCTATTATTTGCCTTCAATCCTGTCATATGAGCCTTTCCACGCTTTTTTCCTTTTTTTTTTAAGCATCTCTACGTCATGCCACAGCAGTAGCTCTTAGGAGTTTCAGGGATTCATTGATCGGGACATAATGAATCGTGCAAAATCTTTTGAGTAATTTTTAAGCCCTAGTTACTGGGATTCTCCCCAAGTAACAGTAACCAAGCTCAGAGAGTCCATCAACATCCTGCCTTTTCCTTCCTCCGGCATTCAGGGGATGCCATCCTTCCTTTGGCAACACTGTGAAGGAGGAACTCCCCAGTCATACATGTAGGAAAGCCTGAGCTTAACCTCCTCCTTACAGAGCTTTCCTTCTTTAGCCAGGGTCTGGTGCTTTTCCAGCATGTCCTCGATGCTTTGCTTATGAGTTACTATATACTTATTGTTGCAACCTCGTGACTTATACTCGGTGTCAAAACGAGGGTCATGCACTCTCTTCACATCAATGGGAGCCAGCCAGACCCCCAGGGAGACATCTTCACTCTGCCACATGTTCAGGTAGTCTTTGCTAAGACGCAAATAGCGCACCAGGTCTGCGGAAATCACGTAACCCCCCCCCAGAGCATACGGTAGATAGTAGTCACAGAGCACCCAAGCGCTCTCTTTCCATTTCCCGCCAGATTTCACCCGGCCGCGGCCAGAAAAGAAGCCCCAATAGAGGCGCCGCGGCTCCTTGGCTCTCAGCTCTTCCACCAGCACATCCAAGCGCACGAATGAGGGCAAACTGGAAGTCCAGGTGCAGATCCAGCCAGACGTAGCTGGCCAGGACCTTCGCGGTCAGGTTCTCGTAGGAATCCCGCAGCTCTGGCAGGAGGAGGAGGTCTCTGTGCCGGCTCTGCTCCAGCTCCAGGCTCCGAAGCTCCTCAGCGCCGAGCCCAGCGGTG